CTTGCCCTTGTCACATGGGCATTGGTTGCGTTTGTTGTCTTGAGGCAGCAGCCAGAACTGAAACACGAAGTTCCATTTCAATGTTTGGTTACATTGGAAGGCCATCATGCACAATATGATTCTTAGACACAAAATATGGACTGCTCCTGCCACTTGTAGTTGGGGCCAGTGGAGTGGAAAGGGTCTCCAAAGGCATTTGTCACCTCGGATTAGTTAGAAATGGAGATGCTCCCCCTACCCCCTCCTCCCATCCCCCCACCCCCACCGAGCTCGTTTACCTATTTGATAACCTGTTTGTATTTTCTTTGCAGCATTCAACAACTCACTCACTACCCCTCCATCCCTCCCTCCCTCATTCCCTTCTTTCCTTCATCAGTTTCAGAAATTTCACTTTCTAGTTTGCAAAGAATTTTAATCATGTATTTATGAAGAATTTTATCAAATATATTTTCTGCATCAAATGAGATGATCATATTGTTTTCTCCTTTAATTCGTTAGTAGAAAATATTACATTATTAAATATTTTATATTGAGCCATATACTTACATTTTTGGATTAACTTGATTTGGCTTAGATGCTTTTTAAAATATACATTGCTGGATTTGATTTGACAATATTTTGGTAAAAATATTTGCATCTATATTCATGAATGAGCTTGGCTTGTGATCTTTCTTTTTTGAACTGTCTTTGCCCAGTTTTGGAATCCATGATTCACAAGCTCTGTAAAATGTGTTGGAGAGCGTTCCTACTTTATCTGCTCCCTGTTTGTGTAAGGCTGGACACATCTGTTCATTGAATATTTGGTAGAACTTATGAGTAAAACCGTCTGGGCTGAAAGGGTTCTTTAATCAGCTGATTTTAAAAATTAGGTTTTTAATTTTTTAATGGTTTTTAGTTTATTTTGGTTTTCTGTTTCTCTTAGAGTTAATTTTGGCAAGCTATAATTTTCTTGGAAAGTGCCCATATCATCTCTTTTCAAAGTTACTAGCATTAATACAACTTTTTGGTGTTGTCGATCCTCTATTTTATCTTTGTTTTCTGTTTTTGTTAACTTCTGTTACTGTTTTCATAATTACATCTTTCAAAATAACTTCCTGTATTGATGACTTCCAAGACTATCCCCAGGTTCAATGATTTGCCAAGACGACTTACCGGACTCAAAATATAGCTGTACTCATGACTATGGTTTATTGTAGCAAAAGAATACACAGCAAAATCAGCAAAGAGAAAAGGCGCACGGGGGACAAAGTCCAGAGAAAACTAGGCACTAGCTTCCAAGAGTCCTCTCCTAGTGGAGTCACACGGGACAGATTTAATTTTTCCAGCAGCAAGTTGTGTCAACACAGATAAAATTGTCCATGAAGGAAGCTCAGTAGAGACTCAGTGCCCAGAGTTTTTATTGGTGGCTGGTCATGTAGGCATCATCTGCCTAACCTGTACCCAAATTCCAGATACCCAGGAGCAAAGCAGGTGTTCAGCAGAAACCATAGTGTCTGCACCGTTTAGGCACAGTGAGCTATTCTTGTCAGGGAATGGTGGGAACCTTCCCAGAATCCGTGTTCAAAATCTAGATGTCAGCCGAGGGCTAAGCTTGCGAGCAGGCCTTTCTAAGGACAGTAGTCTCAGGCCTGCTATGTTAACTCTTTTCTGCACAGTTCCTAAACTGGATACTTTAGTTCATTAATTTTTTCTCTTTCTTTTTTAAAATGAGCATCTAATATTATGTATTTCCTTCTTAGAACTGCTCTACTGGCATTCTGCATGTTTAGTATGTAGTATTTCATCATAAAAAGTATTTTTGATGTTTTTCATTATAATTTATTCTGTGACCAATGAATGATTTGGAATTGGTGTGGGTGTTGTGTGTATATGTGTGTGTGTTAACTGCCAAAAGATAGAGCTTTCAACATTATGCTTTTGTAACTCATTTCTAATTGAATTCTGTTGTGGTTAAAGAACATGGTCTGTATGACATGGAGTCTCTAAACGTTGCCTTATGGTCTTTTGTGTGTATTTAATTTTTATAAATATTGTTCATGTACTTGAAAAGTAATTAGCAATGATTGTGTGTAAGGTGCTGTATAGTCCATAAGTTAAAATGTATTATACATATCTTCTATATTCCTTGTTTTTTCTTTGTTTTTTTTTTTGATTACTATATTATGAAAGAGTCATGTTAAAATACAATATAATGATGCACTTTTCATTTTTTCCATTTGGTTCTGTCAGTTTTTTGCTTTCTGTATTTTAATGCTATATTATTAGGTGTGTACAAGTTTAGAACTGCTAGGCTTTCTGATGAATTGAGTCTTTTGCTGATATAGTGACCTTCTTTATCACTAATCATATATTTAGCATTATAGTCCAATTTTGTCTTGTGGTTAGTGTTTTCTTATTATATCTATTCTATCATTTTATTTTTAATGTTCTCTTTTTGTATTTTAAGTGTATCCCCTTTAAACCACTCTTACAGTAACTCAATTTTTAATTGTATTTTTGAAATAATTTTAAGCTTACTGAAAAGTTGTAAGAACCAAAATATAGTTAAAGATTGAGTTACTGTAAAAGTAACATAACTATGGAGGCTATAAATATTAGGAACTCTATTACTATAACTTACCATATGAATAGGCTAAGGAGAAAAATCACATGATTATATTTATTTATGAAGGATATTATTCCTTTTATTCAAATTACATATATTTTCCCAGTTGTCCTATGTCTTTATGCATTGCTTATAGTAGTTTCGTTATGCAAAAGTTTCTTATTTTTATGTAATCAAGTTGTCAGTCTTAATGTTTCTGGATTTTGAGTAGGACAATTTTTCCTACTCAGAGGTGTGGTGGCATTCACCCATGGAAAAAAATACTGGTATGGTTTAATTTTTTTACATTACAATTTTGGTTATTTTTGGAAATTATCCTGGTATGTGGTGGATTTGGGGCAGAGTTTTTCTAATCTCTGTTACACAGAGGTGGTAACCATTCAGTGTCCTGGTGGTATGCGTGGGTCTTAGCTACAACTGGATTCCTTGCACAGGCCCAAGACCATGTGTCCCAACCCCCCTTGGAGGTTAGAACTCCGTCTCCTACCTGCCAGGGGGCCTCATGTGTTACCCCTTGGTTCCCATGCTTTCTGCTATGGCCTTGCCTTTCTCCTTTGTTTCTAGCACCTGGGGATTCATTCTTTTTCCCCCACTTAAGTTTGGCTATGTATGTTTGGCCCAGTTCGAGATTTGCCCTCAGTTTGATCTGCTACTTTGCCCTAGATTGGTTCACAGTGGCCAGGACATTGGAGAGGACAGGAACTAAGGAGCTTGGAAATAAAATGAAGTGGAGATGAGCATCTACTGTGGTAGTACTATTAGTTTTTCTGGCTCTAACAGTTTGTTTTAAAGCATTTTAAAACTCCATAGGCTAGAGCAGATCTTCAGATGTCCCATCCCTGTTCAATAGAACTTAAAAATTTCTGAGATTGTGCTAATCATCACGATCTACTGGTTATATTGTTATTCATGAATGTTGGTGAAGCACGGCGCATCTTTTCTTTTGTAACTTTGTCTAATTCAAAGCGGACACTAAATGAAATATACATGTGTATTTCTGTGTATTTTACATGAAAATTTTCCACATTTTAACTTGGATTATTGCAGGATTTTTTTTTTTAAACAAAACTTCTATTTAATAATTGTGGTCCGAGGACTCTGCTTATTGTTGCAGAGTTCCCCGTTTCACGTCTTTGCTGCATCATGGAGTGGTTTGGTGGCCCAGTGTGAGTTTGGAAGTCTGAGTTTTGGTTATATGATTACCTCTGTTCTGAAATCCTCATGAGAACCTTGAGAAACCATTTATAAATTTTTATCTTTATATTAACAGTATAAAATTGACCCTTTTTTGGTGCACAGTTTTATGAATTTAAACACGTTTGGATGTGTGCAACCTCTGTAATCAGGATGTGCAACTGTTCCCATCACGGCCCAAACTCCCTCATGCTATCCCTTTCTCCTGTCCCCAGGCCCTGGAAACCACTGATCTGTTCTCTGTTACTATTTCAAGAATGTCATACAAAAGGAATCATACAGTATGTAACCTCTTGAGACCGACTTCTTTATTTAACATGACGCTTTTGAGAGGCATCCAAGTTGTTGAGTTTATGAAGAGTTTGTTTCTTTTTATTGCTGAGTAGTATTCCATTGTTTGGATGTACCACCAGCTATCCACTCACCTACTAAAGGATAGTTGGGTTGTTTCCAGTTTTTGGTAATTATGAATAAAGCTCATATGAGAGAAATTGTTTTCCTGCTGATAAATTTGGTCTTTTCTCTTCTTGAGCCCAATTCCTTTTATCAAACAATAACTTAGGTTACACCTGTACCCAAAAGAAATTCTGATCATGTCTTAGCTCCCAGAATGGCAATTAGGCTTCCTTTCCCATGTCAAGTATAATCCGTTGTAAGTGGCACTCTGGAATACTGTGTTGAATGCAATTGCAAGGCTACCTCTGGGAAAACGTGCATAAGCAATTGGTGACGTCTGCTAAGGTCGCAGGAGAGGCAAATGGCAGCAATTGGACTGAGTAAATTATAGGCATATGCTTTTTGGAATGGAGAATAGGTATTGAATAGAAAATATAATAGAATTAGCCAGTGCAGTGGTGTAGACTCGTGTGTCCCTGCAGGTCTCTGTCACGTTTAGAAAATATCATATTCACTTTATCTGCATAGCCAAATTTGTGCAGTGTTCTTTTTTTGTACTTGTATAAAAAGATATATTACAGTAAGGTTACGGATTCACTCTTACTGAGGGGTGTTAAGATTTAGTCTAGGGTTTCTTCTAAGTGCAAAGTCATTGCCAACTGGACCAGGAATGATACTGCATTTTGAAATATAATTTCCATACTGCTGATGCATTTCACAAATATATACCCTTTGTAGCCAAATATTGTAGGCTGTTATGCTTGAAAAATAAAACTAAACTTTTTGTGTTTGTTTTTCTTTACAGTATTACTTTACTGTTCTTTTTGGCCACGAAGGTCAGAAACCACTGGAGCTGCGCTGTGAGGAGGAGCAGGATGGTAAAGAGTGGATGGAGGCCATTCACCAAGCCAGGTAAGGGCTCAAGCCACCCTAGGTGATCCTTGATTGTCTGGGTCTTGCATTGGGCTTGTCACTGTTGGTGGTAGTTTTGGAAGAACTTTCAGTTCTAAGATGGGTTTACCCTTGGTACCTTCTCCTTAGTAATGTGTGTGATGATTATTTAAGTTTTCTGTGGCTATATTCCAGCTAAAGATTAAAGGTAATAGATATAATAATAATAATAAGCAGTAGTAGTAGTCAAATTGTGGATTTCTTCCTGTGTGCCAGGCACTATTTTAGGTGCTTCTTAATTAAAGAATTTATTAAATATATTGAATTATCCTCTCAACAGTCTGCAAGAGGGGTATTATAATTACTCCTTCTTCTACAGATAAGGAAACTGAGGCCTGGAAAGTTAGTTTGCTTGCCTGAGGTCACACAGCTAGCAAGTGGCAGAGCTGGGATATGGATGCAGATGAGCCCACCTTTGTCAACCTTGTCCTGTGCAGCCTGGTTATTGAGAAGGGTGATGACAGCCTCTATCTAGGGAAATAGAAGTGTGGTTTCATTACCCCCTAAGAAATACCAGGAAGGTGGAAAGGCATGCACAAGGTCTTAAGTGGGAATGAGAAATCTGAAAGAGATGCAAAGTAGACCCCTCTCTTATATTTTTCCTATTCACTTCCTGCATCTGGTCCACTGTTCTTCCCACGCTGGCTCCCATGCTCACTGCTTTCCACCTGTCCACTCCCTTAATCCAGGCTGTCGCTGCACAACTCCCTGCCCCCTTGACTTGCTCATCTCTCCGTGTCTCAGGGCAAAACTCTGGCTGAGGCACATTTTCTTTCTCTTCATCAGACAAGCCTTCCCTTCTCCTATCTGTCTGTTCCTCTTTCTAGTGCCCCCTCCCTGAAACAAACCCCTATGAGTCAGCCCTCACTGGCCCCCTCTCCAAGCTGCTACAGCACTTACATTCTGCACTGCCCACGGGCTACTTAGCAATTCAGGGTATTTTCTTTACGTACTTCATGTGTGAGATTCTGTTGCCTAAGCAGGACCGTATGCACCTTGAGAATGGGCGGGGAATTGGGTCACAGTGGTTTCTGAATGATGCACATTGCTCATTGTGTAGTAGGGGAACAGGAACTATTTCCAGTTTGATTATAATAAGAATGAGGCATTTGTTCTGAGTGAGTTCAGGCTGTTCTTTGAACCCTTGAAACTTTTTCTCCCAGAACCTCCCTTCCTCTCCCCTCCGCTCCCTCTTCAGCTACTTTCGGTTGACCACCTTCTCTGACAGGCAGCACGCTCAGTGCTTTAAAACATACTTACCTTTTTTTATTCTTCACAACAATTCAGTAGGGTGTTATTAACCCCATTTTACAGATGAGAAGACAAAAATTCATGATGGTTAAGCAGCTTGGCCAAGTTGTAGCCCAGAGCTGTTAAACTGCAGAGCTGGGATTCAAACCCATGTCAGTCGGACCCCAGAGCCTTTAACCAGTGTTCCCTATTGTACTTCCCTTCGTTATCTTCTCTTTTTCTCTTCAGTCTTGTATTTCTTTTTCTCTTCCTCTATTCCAAGATGAAAGTGGATTAATGGGAGGTCAGGGTTGAGAGTAGAAGAGGTTATCTGCAAAATATTTCAGTTTCTTTTCTTTCTCCGGGAGGCATGGGGCTGGCAACCAAATGCTGCTCTCTCCACGGCCTGGCGCAGCCTGCCACAGACATAATGGTCCGGCCACGTGGTTCAGCTGTCTTTGCTCTGGGTACTCTCTGTCTGTGGGTTTTGCTTCGCACTTAGGACTAATGCAGAATGACTTGCTGTAGGAAGAAAGTCAGGTCTTCAAAGGTGAAAGAAGCATCAAGTTGGCAAGGTAGAGCCCTTAGGTCATTTCCAGACACAGTCTTTGTGACCACTTCTATTCCTTTATATCTGGGAGTTGAAATGAAGTACATCATTTAAAACATACCTGTTACACACAGAGTGGAATAATAGACATTGGAGACTCAAAAAGGTGGGAAGGTGGGAGAGGGATGAAAAATTACTTCTTGGGTGCATTGTACACTCTTCAGGTGATGGTACACTAAAAGCCCAGATTTCAGCACTATCCAATATATCCATGTAACAAAACTGCACATGTACTCTCTAAATCTATAAAAATAAAAATTAAAAAATTAAAAAATCCACCAAAAACCCCACATGCCTGCTTGCCCATCTTTTTTCATTCCAGAAGAGCAATTACCATCCATAGCCTAAACGCTTTTGTAGTTGCCAAGCAGATATCTTGGTGGACCAAACACAAATAGTCTGAATTACTTTACAGAGGATTAGATTTCAAATAAGAGATCTTTTTCTATCCTGTGAAAACATTTTGTCATATATATGGAAGTGGGTCAATAATTATTTGGTCGTATTTGACATATGATCAAAACCAGGGCATGTGTGATTTTGCCAAGAGACAGATTTTAGAAATCACTTGAGCGGTTTGGATGATAGAATGGTGAAAATTCTCTTCTTTTTTGGATTTGAAGATTTGGCTAACAATTGATCTTTTTTCTTGATGTCCTGAATTTTTGGCCTATTAGGTTTGCTTTTCCTTTGACTTGAGGTCTGGGATTGAGTTCTTTGATGACTTCTTTTAATCCGACTGCTTTACACTTGAGTTCTTATATTTGAGTTTTGCATTGAGATGCTTCTTAAATTTTTGTCTTCTAAATCAGGGAAGGCAATAACTTTTTCATTTAAGTTTTATTAAATTGAGTTTTTGGTATAGACATGGATCTGTGAAATTCACCTTGATTTTGTTTATGCAAAACCAAAAGTTAATGAAGCTGATTCAGAGAAAGAATTGATCAGCCATTTTTGCTTGGCATTGTGCTAATAAAACACAATTAATTAGTTGTGGTTGGTTGACTAAACATTTCACCCTCAGAGGACAATCTGATGGCATTAATTTGGTACTGCTGCCTTTTTAATATAAAAGTTTTAAATTCTTAATAATTATAGGTTTATTGATCCCTCTTTTAAAAAGTTTGAACTTTTGATTAACTGATGAGTTAGCATGAGACTAGTTCTTTTCTGAGCTACAAATCCTCCTGCAGTTACTACTTAGAAACAAAGATTGCTCAGAACCGCCTCTCTTGGTCACTGCTGTTTTCCTGGGACGGCTTTTCAGTAGCAGCCTGGGTGTGCTGTCTTTGTGTGCGGTGAAATTCACACTGCTGTTGTTGGCTTTCTAACTCAGAGCAGAATCTAATTGCCCCAGTTTGCCTTCAGGCGATCTTTGGGTCATTTTCTAGCATGTCCAATGGAATGTTTTTTCTTTTAGATGTGGCCCAGAAAAAAATCATTTTGGAATTAACATTCTTCATTTTGAGGTTTTGACCTGGTCCAGGAAGCTTGCTGTAATGTTTTGCATATCATTGGCCAAAATTACATTTCTAGAACACTGGCACATTTAGGATATCATAGCATCACATGTTCTGGCACCAGTTCAGGGGAAGTTGCTACCAAGACTCAGTCTTGTTTTTGTCTGGATGAGTTGAGGCCAGAGCATTTTAATAGCAGTTAAGTCTATGCTTATTTCATAAATGGTTTGCTATGTGAGTATGGAGCTCTGGAAATTACCAGTAACCTGACATCTTTTCTTTGTTTTCTTGGTCATATCTGTCCACCTTGGTTGATTTAGTTGTAGACATCAGGACAATCAAAAACATTGACCTGGTTGATGGTGGGTCCTTAGGGCTTATTGACTGAAAAGACATCTTTGAAGTGTTTGACCTGCTGGAACACCAACCAAGCAACGTCTCCACAGCTAGAAGACAGTCACAGCCTGGAAGAGGATCCAGGTGAACATCTTCCAAGGCATCTCCCATCCTGGTCTGAGCCTCATGCCCTCAGGACCTAGACTAGGACAGCTAGGAGGAGAGGGGAGGGTATTCCAGAGGCAGAGGGGGCAGACTTTGTGACTACCTGGATATGGACAGTATTAGACCAATGTGGCAGCTACTGCATCTCTCAGGCCCTCAGCTTGGATGGTGTCATCACTGGGAGAGGAAATGATGAATGAGGGCAGGTTTGTGGGGCAAAGATGGTGAGCACTGACCGGGAAGGGTTCTGCATGAAATTGGAAGAGTAGGATCAATCGCTGGGAAGGGACACCAGGGACTGTGAGATACTGAAGTGATCTTCCTGCCCCTTGGCATGGAGGATATAAGGGAAAGAGCATCCAGGGATGACTAGAGAAGTAAGGTGTGTCTTGAGGAGAAAGCTGGTGTGGGTTTCTATCAAGGTGGAGGTTGGCGAAGGTTTGTGAAAACTTGGCGATGTTGAGAATATCGTGCCTAGTACAGAGCGCCGTCAAATGCATGTAGCATTGCTCACCCTGCAGATGTGTGCCTTACATGTTCCATGTTTGAGACCATCTTTGGCCTGTTTCCAGTATCTCCCACTGAGACTCTGCTCAAACTCCCACCTCGATTCTCTTTCCCTCCCTCAGTGTGTGTCTCGTGCAGGTGGATCTTGGGTGTTCTGCTAAGGGCAGAGCATGCAAAGGGGAAAAGAATGGGACATGTGCTTCCGTTCCCTACTGACACGTCAGATGGAGTTGGGCAAGGGCTTGATCTAGCCCTTTCTTTCACCCTGTCAGTCCCCAACTAGATGAGCAGAGAGACTTAATCCTCCAGTTAAATCTTTCAATTAAGCCTTATTCTCTTTTGCAGTGAAGAAAACTCTAATCCAGCCTCTTGGGTCTGCTTTTGTCTGGAGTCCTTTTGATTACATGTGCCTGAGACAGTTCATTCTCTCTCTCCCCTCAGCACACACACAAACACACACACACACACACACACACACACACGCAACACGACAGCAACTGCATCAGACACCAGACACCTAATGCTTGTAACCTCACTCTTTTTCCTTAGATAGAGGCTTAATTTAGAGCAAAGTGTATAGTATAAAAATCTGTACAACACTAAAGGCCACCATGTGTAGCATCCCCGTAAAACCAGCCCTTTGTAGCCTACGC